ACCACAACTGCAACTTATGGACACCTGCAGTCATTCACTGTCCTACTTTTAACCTGCGACTTTAGCATACGTCATCTCTTTTTATGCAACATCTTCTGGTGATAAATAAAGGAACAGAAGCCTTTCATGTGTTTCTATTGAGGCTTAGATGTTTGAAGGCTTGTAGCGATGTGAAATAAGAACGTCCCAAAATGTGTTAAACCGTGCCTCTGATGTTTTAATCAGGAAATTCAACCACAACATCATGATATACACTTATAGTTTGCACCGATGTGTTTTCTAAATTCTATCACACACATATACATGAAAAGTGAGCGCGAGACACTGATGGAGCTCATAGAATCTATTGCACTTCTGCACTGTGTTCAGCATAATATTAATTAGCCATTAATTAGAAGAGCTGTATTATTGATTTGTCTGCTATTCTACTTAAAAGGTCAAACTAATATATATTATCGACTCATTACATGTAAAGTATTTCAAGCCTTTACTTTTTATAACTTTGATGATGGTGCCCAGTGCACCAAACAGCCTAGGACCGTCCCTGCCTGTGTACGTTCCATGTCTTGTGTCTCTAATGGATTTGTGTGTTCTCCCTGTCTTGTTGTACCTGATTAGTTCCAGCTGTTGTTCAACTGAATTTCTCAGAAGAACCAACTCGAGGGATTAATAAAGTTCTCTCTCTGTTTCCCCTCGTTAGCCTCGTTACAAACACTACAGTGAACAAGTGGATTTTCCTATTTTAGCTCAACCAGCAAACACACAGAACCACTTACTGCTGAAGAGACAGAGAGCCAAAGTTTTTAAATAAACTCATTGCTGCAGCAAAGAGCAGCACAACAGTGAGGCAGATTTTTAGCTTCAGTGTTCTTGTTTTCCACTAAGTCATTGCTTCTGTCTCTAATTAGCTAACATAATCTAATCTATGTCTATTAGCATCCAACCAACTCAAAGAGTTCATATTACTAACAGCTCACCTCTCTGCAGCAGAGATGTGATCTTTAGACT